AATATCAGTAAAAAATAATAGTCAGTTGCCTAGTTACTTTTCTGAAATGATGACATTATATACAGAGAGGAGAAATTAAACAGAAATTTATCGGATTTTGAGATGTAAGTAGGAGTATAATAATAATAACTCTCTCATTAGTCATCATGTTGGAGATATGATTTCCAATGAACCATAGAGTATAGCTGGCGGAAATATAATCTTCCATTAGGAACAGCCATACCAGTAAAGTCTATGGGAAGAAATGAAGCAAAAAGTAGTATCTGATTCAGAGTATGTGGCTACTAAACAGCACATTTTCCATGTCAGGTGATGAATTTACAAACATCTGGCTTTAGATATATAAGCTTACTCACCTCTGTGGAGGGGAAAAAATGACTGTGACATGTTCTCAGCTTAATAACAGCTTTGCAGGATCCAAAATGTTAAAGAAATAACCCTTTCACCAGAGTACATAAAATATATAGAAAGCGTTATTTAACTAAAATGCCAGTACTGGACTTTCTGACTACAGAACAAAAATTATAATTTCAACAATAATAATTAGTAAAAAACTCAAATATTTCAAATTTAATTTAGTATTTACCAGGACCGAACCAACTCCAACTCGTATAATTTTAGAAAATATGATTTTGATTCCTGCCTCTAAATAATAATTTAAAATATATTTTGATTATCTTAATCCAGAATGTTATTTCATAGCTACCAAGTTAACTATCAGCTACACTTTAAAAAATGTTTAAAAAGTGAATCATCATGCATTTTTATTGAAACTGACAGTACTTATCTATTTTCACAGATGTTAAATATAGTTGAAAATGTTTATTTTTTTAATAAATTTAATTCCTATTAACTTGATTACAGGTTTTTCTTGAGTATTTTTTTTTTGTAATCTCATCCAGTTTTGGTGTAACTTTTATTCAAAAACACTAAATTTAACCCAAGTCTCCTTAGCCATTTTTTATGGGTCTTTTGACAATAGATAAGATTACAGTCATTTGAAAATATATTGTTGGCATTAGATTTTATATCCGAGCCAGTCTGTTTACTATTATAATTATACTATAAAATATAAATTGTTTCTTTATGCAATATATACAAAACTGCTTCTTGTTTCAGTTGATATATTTTCTTTCTCAATTAAAAAGTAATCAGTTTTATGTTGGATACAATTAAGTCTTTACTTTAGTACAGTAATTGTATGTATCATAATAAAAAATTGATAAAACTGATAAAATACAAAATGTTGAATAAATAACTATTGTGAACTGCAAGGGAGAGTCGATGGTTCCTGACCTCTCGGTACGGACAACAGGTCGTTAAACCTGCTCACTGTCAGGATAGCTTGTTTTATGATAATGATCCCTTTGGTTGGGGACTCAAATGTCAGGCGAGTGGAGGGAAATAATTTTGGGGTCAATGATAAGGTGAAGGGCGTGATCGAGTAAAGGAGTCTACTCTTTATAACAAATATAACAACAATTTATTAATATATGCAAATTAGACAAAAGACTACACCAATTGCGTTTCTAAACCACCTAATTTTTCGAGAGAGAGTTTTTCTGCTTTTCATACCTCTTTGTAGGTTCCTTGACTGTTAAATTCGTGGAGGCACTTAAATGTTCAAATATAGATTTCTTTTATCCAAAAGAGCACAAATTTAAAAAGTTCGCGACTTTGGCGATGATGTGTTATCGACGATCGTAGATTGGAATTCGGCGGATTTGGAGAATCGGCGCAATGTTGTCGGTCCGGTGTTTGTTAAGAGACTCCCCCAGGAGGGGGTAAGAACTGTCTTTTATAGCTTTTTGTGGGGAATTTCCACCACGTGATCGGATGTTCATGAGTTAAAGGTTATAGGTGTTCCAGGGACCTAAAACAAGTGACGTAAGTTGGACGTTAACTATAAACTTTTCTGCAAGATGAGCTGCAAGTTCTGCAAGAACAATAGATGTTGATAGTTATGACAGGAAGGTTTACACATTCCCGGCTAAGATCGTTTTTTTTCTAGTTTGTTACATAAACGAAAGTAAATTAATTAATTTTCTTGTTAATAAAAGAGCGTGATTTTCGTCAACAAAATTCCAGATCTCACACTATTGTGTTATTTCACTTTTTGCAAATTCTGTTTAACAAATCATTATTTTCCAGTCAAATTAGTCTAGTATTTGTTTCATTTTACTGTAATTTGACACTATTTATTCTTATTCAAAATAAATTTTAAATAAAAATTATGGAATGTTTCATTAGTGTACTTGTGAAATCATGGCATATAAATAATCATTTTTAATTGGACAAAATATATTGTAATTTTAATCTCTTGATTAAAAATTTTTTAAATTTTAATGTAAGATATAGAACACACAAAGTTATGAGCTCACTATGGGACTAATAAAACATACTAAGTACATAACCCAGACTTCTGTGTTTTCGGATCAGAAAGAAGTCTATGACCAAATTTAAAACTTCTTATTATTAAGAAAAATTTAATGAAAAAGCAATTATTCATTCATAACCCTAATAGTAACATAATGAAAACCAAAACAAGAGATCTTTAATATCTAGTAACTATTTAAAGAACAAAAAGTTTTGACTGTATTAATTGGTTATCTTCAGATTGAAACTAAACAGATTAAAATTTTAATACTGTATTTTGAACACACTGCCTTCAAAGTGAAAGTTTACATAAGGCATAAATTTAATTTTTAAATTTGTATGTAAACTTTTAGATAAATTTTTTTAATTATAGAAGAAACTAAGTGAAGTGGCAGTATATTAGTTTCCATTGACTTCTCGGAACTTCTGTACTCATATTATCTCATATTTTTGAACATATTGATGCTAACAAAGTAAAGGAGGAATGAAAGTTAATGTTGTTCATAAATATATTAAAATAATATTTTATAAATTTTGAATGTATGCTTCGGCTCCAAACTTTATAAAAACAAAAACAAAACAAATGTAAAATCCGTGTTAATCCGTGTTAAATGTAAAATTTCGGAGTTTAAAGTTCATATGTGAAATTAACCAAACCTAGAATGATTTAATTTAAAAATAACTATATAAAATAACTGTTTTTATTACATCAATACTCAAACATATAACAAGTATAAAGTTTAAAATACTTTTTTAAGTTTAAAATACTTTTTTTAATCTGAAATTAATGAAAACGTTTTTTTATTTTAGATGACAGAACAACAGCTCTGTGAAATATTTGGAAAATATGGACCACTGGCCAGTGTTAAAATTATGTGGCCTCGTTCCGAAGAAGAAAGAGCCAGAGGAAGGAATTGCGGATTTGTTGCTTTTATGAACCGTAAAGACGGAGAAAGAGCAATGAAATCTCTAAACGGTAATGTATCATTAACGACATAGGTTGATTGTCAAAAATTCTGCAAATTTTACTGTTTATAAATTTCTCTGAGAATGATTATTAATTCCCATTCTTACAAACTCTTATTAAAAAGAAATTACTTAATGGTTGTACATAAATTATTATTATAATAATTTATGGTGTATAATATATATACAGTATACAGTGTTCCTTTCCCATTCATAATTGGTCCTCCCTTGATGTTTCTCACATATTGTATGATAATGTCTTTCAAGAATGCCAAATTTCAATGTGTTCTTAATAAATCACACTTTTTAAGTGTCCCACAATTTAAAATCATACAGTTACAGATCTAGAAAATGAGGTGGCCAGGTAATAGGAAATGCACAATTAATCGCTGTTTCAGGTGAAATGTCACAGACTGTGTGTCGTGTTTGATATGTGGAGATGCTTCATTTTGAATGAAGATGATTGACTCAAGATGTTGTTGCTGTTGTAGCTGGGATATGACAAAAGTGTTGAATATCTCTTGGTACCTTTGGATTGTCACAGAATATTTTACAGGCTTATTAGGACTAGTTCTGTCAAAGAATGGTTGAAGGATAAATATGGCCATGAATACAACCCAGACTGTAACTCTAAGCATGTATAATGGAATCTGCTGGAAAGCACAAGGTTTAATGTAACCTAAAGGCAACAGTTACTGACATTCACTGTTGCAATGATGTGAAAATGTGCAGGATTTTCCATGACATAGCCAAATGTTCATGGCATGGTCAGACTTTATTAAAGTTAAATTTTAATTTATAAAATTTTTAAATTTGGCTCAGTTAAGCCTTTAACTTTTACACATTCTTGTGCAAAGGTTAATAAATTGAAATTAATTTGAATTTAATTTTTAAAAATCTTGAGAGAAAGGATCAAACTGAAATTGGATTCTCACTCTAATTGATGCATAGCTTGAAAAATAATCATATAGTTTAAGCTTAGTTTGGCTAATGATTTGCATTTTGGTTATATTATATATAGAGTGATCATAGAGTAGGTGTTCAGAACTCTTTGTAGAAGGAACTAGTGGGCAATTCTCAATCAAATATGTTATAATTACTGTCCTGAGTATACAGTTTTGATTTTTTAATTAATGTAGATCCACGTGCACATTAAGAGGGTGACAGTGTCAAATTTTGCCCTAGCAGTTGAATTTATGTACAGTACATTTTATAATGAATTTCAGGTATAAAAAAGTCACCAAACATTCTTCACAATTCTTTGACAGATGAAGAGTTGTGGTGCCCAATTTGCTTGATCATACATTACTAGTTAAACTCTTCTGTTAATAATGAAACAGCAATACCCAGGAATTTAATGTTTTTCACAAAGAAGATACGAGGTGTATATAATAATAAGAGTTACTTGAAGCTTAGGAATTTCTATTATAAGGAAGGAATCTACGAGGGCTGTTTTTTTTTTTTTCGATGGTCCACGAAACAAAGACAATCGTAACAAAATGAACTTATTACCCAAAGTTAGGCATGAACATGGTTACTTTTTGACATAATCACCATGAAGATTGAGGCATTTGTCATATCTATGGATGAGCTTTTCCCTCTTTTCTGAACAGGAAAAGTGGCTAGGAGGGCAGAGATTCGAGACTAATGATGATCTTCAAAATGTTTGGATTCATTTCAAGTTATTGGTGGCAACATTCTATGACAAGGGATGGAAAAGCTCATCCACAGATAGGATAAATACCTCAATCTTCACAGTGATTATGTTGAAAAGTAACCATGTTTGTACCTAACTTTTGGTAATAAATTCATTTTGTTATTTACACTTGTCTTTTTTTTATGGACCATCGGAGCTTGGAAAAAAACAACTTACATAAATATTTATATACTTAAAAAATTTGAAATGAAGGATAGAAAAATAAGATATTTCCTGCCTTTTGATTTGAGTGGGGGACAGAAAAAATTGAAATTATTGTGTTGTAACAGCTAAGAAATATTATTTAGTTCAGATGACAACAGTGGCGTGCCGTCATTGGAAGCGGTAAATGCACTGCTTTCCTTATATTTTCTAAAAAATAAATACGTATTAATTTTAATTATATGAAAATAATTGCACAATACTGTATTTTATTATAACCGCATTATGTATCTTATTACAAATTTCTATACTACATGTGAAAAAAAAAGATAAGATTGCTATTGTATATTCGAATATTAGTGGCAGAGTGGAAGCACTGTATTGTCAGCATCCAAAAAGACAGATTCATGCATGCGCTTTACAGAGCACCAACCTCACCCAGTTTAGCCAGTGGAAGCCTAGGACCTCAGGTGGATGCTAAACATATACAGCATCCAATTCTATCCAGGACCAGTTCTGGGCTGTTAGCCGAGTTCCCGCTAGATATTTGGTCGCCCTTGCCCGATTACATAAATCGCGAGTAGATTTATAGCTTAACCCAACTGATAAGAATTTACTGGTATGTTTTTATGATAGTTCTATATAGTTGACAGGAGTTAAAAAAAAATCCATTAAAATATTTGATATTTTTATTCCGCTCTCCAATTTTATATTACTCATGGATTTCAATGTTAAACCAGTGATATTATGATTTCGTATATTTCATCTGTAATTAAGGGGATGTAGAAAAAAACATGTACAATTCTTGTACAATGTTAAAAAATTAACTGTTACTTTGACAGCATCATTTACAACTAAATTTAATGAATGAGAAATGAATGAAAGATGAATGAAAGATGCACGAGGTACAGAAAAAGTCTAGAATTTATTTTCCTTAAATTTATGATTTATGTATCCGTTTGTCATAAAAATTTGTCTTTCCACTTTTTTCCCTGAGACTACAAATATTCGAGTACAAAGTAACTGGTTTTGACTTATTTCTACTTAAGAAGTAGTTAAACAATTAAGAGATTAGGAAATTAGGGACATAAACAAAACCCTGAAGAAAGAACCGAAATTTTACTTAAACAAAAGCTTAACTGAACCAATCTCTACTTGAGTACAGTGGAGACTGATTTCTTCGTATTATTAATGTAATAAAGACAGAAATTTTTCCAGTTCAATGAGAGTGATCGAACAGTTGTAAATTTTGGAAATTTCTGAGGACACTTGGTCCTAAAAAGAATTAGTTAGAAAACAAATGACTATTAAGTTTAACATATTTAGATTTTTACAGCTATAATGAGAAATGTTTAAAATCTACAACAGCCCTGTCATGTCCTTTGAGATATACTAGTGATGTGACAAAAGGGGTATTTGACATTGACCAGTATCGGCACCCTGGGGATTTGGCAGTCCGCCTGCATGCACGCACCGCACATCTATCGGGACTGTCTTCAATTCCATCCATTACCACTCATAGGGAGCTATTTGACTAAGTGCATTGTTTTAAGATTTAAAAAATAAAGAATATTTTATGTTATTTTTATGTATGTTTCTTTACAAAGCTATATTTAATTATAATTTTCTATAAAAGTATATTCATACAATTGAAGAATGTAAGGTTTGCCGACGTTGAGGGGGAAAAAGTCTATCTCACGTCAGAATGAGCCTAAGGGAAACCGCGTATGTGGGCGGTGGCAAAGGAGGCAAATGATGCACAAGTGTTTTACAAGATAAAACCCGTTTATTTGTTCGAATTCATGCTTACATCGATATAAGATAATTCCAAAATCTCCTGGGAACGGCGAAAGTTCGTGATCTCGGTTGCAGTTCGGACGGACGAGAAGGATATCCGGACGAAGCAGAAGTTCGTTGTTTCGTTGCGGTGTCCTCGGTGAGCGGCGGATGCACAACACAATTTTTCACCACTGTAGGCTTAATCCGGAGGAGACTCTTCTTCGACCTTGAAGTTCCGATTTTTATAGTTTTTCCCCCACTGTTTGCCTTTCGGATTGGTCCCTCGTCCCATTCCTCGCTTCCCGATTGGTTTCTCCTTTGTCTCTAGGTGCAAGATGAAACTTTTTCGGGTCGCGGGAAAGGTCCGATTCGAGGTGTCCATCTGATACCTCTTTGTCGACTCTGCTCGATGACTGTTTATAAAATAATAACACCTGCACTCATAACTCAGGCCGTTATTTACCATTTTTGACGTCTAAGAATTTAACGATCATTTTCACCTTTCACCTATCAAAAATTCCTCTATTTTTTTGTTCGAAAAGGTTTATTTCGGCCAACATTTTATAGACACGCGAGTCAAAGATCTACCTGTTTATGAGCGCTCGTGTTAGAGTTTGTCTTCCGCTAAGACCTTATCAGATAGTTGACACATACTCGAACCGTTCCGAGTCTCGTTGTTTACATCTCGTGTCTCGCAAGAATTTCACGGTTTACTCGAGTTCGAACCTCGTCTGGGAACTCACAAGAATATTTTGTACCAGGTATGTACCGGTACATCCACCACACATTTTATTTCACCAAGTAAGTTTTTATTATTTTATTTTTAATTGTAGCCCGATTCGGAATGTAATTGTGATATTAAAAGTGCATTTAGAGAAGTCTACGGTTTTTACTGGCTTATTGAACAAACGATACGAATGGATCCTAGACCATCACTGACGCGCGGTTAACTGATTGCCCCTGGAAGTCGGCTTTTTACGGAAACACAGCTTCCCTATCGTAAAATGTCACGGCACGCCACTGGATGACAACAACTTTCAGTTAAAATAAATAAATTGTAATCATTGCTAAATAAGGAATAAAAAAATTCGCATTTTTTAATAAATGTAATATTTTGAAAGAAAATTTTTATATTAGTAGCAAGTAGTATAAAAATAAAAAGAATATAAAGCATATTAAATCAAATCAATGATTTAGCTAGCAAACAAAACTATTGTATTGTAGGAGGGAATTGGACACAGGCAAGTGTATAATATATTGCTGTAATGAATGGTAGTAATAACAACAAAAAAAGTGAAAACTGTAAAGTAAAATAACCTGAAAACAAAATATAAAATTTTTAAATTAGTATTATATGTAAATAAATGGAAATCTAAGTCTGAAACACACACTGGTTAACAGTTGGGCTGTGTGTAGTATAGCAAATCTTTATCATTAGTTAAAATTTCTTTCATAAATTAGGCATTAATAAGTATTATGCTCTAATGTTATCCCATGGTAATAATTTTAATACATAGGTAACTCATGTTTTTATTTTTCTGAAATATTTACTTATTACAAAATTTCAAAAATTAAATTGTTAAAATTATTGTATTACTGTAATTATTATCATGGGATAACATTGGAACTTAATATTTATTTGTGACTAAACAAAGGCATTAGACATTAAGTAAGTTTACAAATCTTTATTATCAAAATGATAATTCTTTATTGAACAAAAATATCTTATAATTGAGAAATTGAAATTATTCCCCAAAATGTTAGCAATTGGTTTTATATGTAAAATTCCGTATTTTTGACAATCAACTTACGTTTAAAAACATTAAATGAAAATTTAATATTTTTTGATAAATTTACTAAATTTTAAACTAGGAAAGTATTTTCACTTTAATATTTAGGTAGAGAAATTATGGGTTTTGAAATGAAGTTAGGATGGGGAAAAGCAGTTCCTATACCTCCTCATCCTATTTACATTCCTCCAGCAATGGTTGAACTTACTCTTCCACCACCGCCATCAGGTTTGCCATTTAATGCTCAGCCGGACAAAAAAGACAGACAAAAATTACCACCTCCAGGTGTGCCATATCCAACAACTAAAGAAGAAAGTGCAGAATTCCAGCAGGTAACATTAAAGATATTTTTATGCATAGTATACATCTGAATTGTTATTGTAATGTAATATTTACATTATACTTTTATTAATTATAATCGTTTCACGAGAAATGTTTGAATCATAAATTATTTTTACTAATGATTTGTTTTTTACTTAAAAAGAAATAAAGAACTGTTAAACAATTAAATTCCAATTTTGGAACCAAATTATAAGTTTTACAGAAACAATTTGCTATTTAATATATGTAGCAGATTGATTAATGTTATACAAGAATATTTTTTTATTCATATATAACATTTATTGTGTCAAACAATTATTTAGCATAAAAAATATATTATAACATAATTATTTCAAATTAAATATCAATAGTAAGAAGAAAGTAGATGTAGAATATCCTGAGACGTCACTATCTTTGTCCAATCCCATATTTAATCACAAACAAAAAAAGAGGTAGTTTTTATTCAATGTATAAAATGCTTTCTGAGCTGGATCAGCTCATCATCAAATATCTTTCCAAACTTCATAAAATCTACAAAAGTTGGAGAAGTTTCAAATTTCAAAGCTTTTATGAAATTTGGCTAGCTTCAGCTTTATTGAAGTATCTGCTCCAAAGAGTTAATTCTCTGTAAACTGGACTATTTTTTAACACTAAACACATCGAAAAAATTAAGTTCAGTCTAGTAACATAAAATAAAAGGATCACAAATGTTTTTGATTTCCTCCCAAGATCTGCTTCAGGTTTAAAGCTAACTGTTCTTTATTTAATATAATCTATTTGAATTTATCAATATAAATTTCAAATTCTGCATATGTTCCATTGTAGAATGGTTAGCTTTAAATCTGAAGCAGATCTCAGGAGGAGGTTGAATACTTTTGTGATTATTTTATTTTATGTTACTGGATGGAACTTAAGTTTTTTGTGGTGTGTTCAGAGTATTTGCATCTTTTCAATTAATTCTCAAACAACCAAGTATTTTCAGATTTTATTTAATATCCATTTTCAGGTATATATATGTGTTTTTCTTCCTCTTCTTGCATCCACTGACTAGCATCTTCAGACTTAGCTTTAAATGGTAAAAATATTTGTTTCTTCTTATTATATTTTCTGATTTGCATTATCAGGCTTCATTTAGAGCTAAATCTGAGGATGCTGGTCAGTAAATGTAAGAGGAGGAAGAAACATTACATATGTATGTATGGGTATTAACACAGATTTTTATCAAAGTCTGAAAGTACTTGGTTGTTTGAGAAATACTTAAAAAGATGCAGATACTCTAATAAAGAAGAGGTTAGGATTTAATCATTGTATAAATACTAATATCCATGTTTATGCAATATCAATGTTCTCTTGTCAAAAAAGTTAACTGTATTCACACCAGTTAACGGCTGATGTGTCTTATTTTATATTCATCCCAGTGTGCTGTGCAGTTATAAAAAATTAAGTTTGTAGAAATACTCTACTACTGCTATATTATACACTTGTAACAATTACTGTACTCAGAGATGTGAACAAAAAATAAAATATTTTATTCCCATCTGTTAACAATTGATTATTAGCAGTTTCTTGTGTTTAATTTGTATACTATTTCATTTTTACAACTTGAATCATTTTATGTGGCATAGTAAAAATTATTGAATCAAAGAATGAGAATTATAATTGAAGAATTCTTAGGTACCTTCCTTCAATGAAGAATGTATTTGAAAAGCCAGCAAAAACCACGATGATTTATTGAAAGGAAACAGATAATTTCATACCTTACATAATTTATTTAAACTTAATTAATAACTGTAGTTAATCAATGCTACATATGCTTTTAATTAAACTGTACTTTTATCTTCAAGCCCATATATATCTTTTTGCCTATATTTGTGCAGTTGTTACATAGTGATATCATAAAATAGAACATTAAGACATTTGTATTCTTCCATACATTATGTTAAGAAATGTATGTTGCTCTCTAAAATGACATCTATTTAAAATCAGGTATTACTTAATTTGATTTTTTTCCAACTTTTTAAGATCAGGTATATTCTTGCTTCATGCATACGTAGTCTTTGTCATTTTAAATTCTTTTATAATTTCTTGTTAGTTTTTATTTCTGACTGATTTCATTTATTGTAGGCAGCTCTTGTCTTGACTAGTTTGTACAGAACCTTTTTTACACAACCCTTTTTACACAGAACTAAGATACATTATCTTTATTTTAACTTAGATCTGTTGTGTAAATTTCTAAGAATCTGTTGCTAATAAGAGTTGTAAGATCTTAGATAACTATAATTAAGGAGAAATTCACATACTTCATCCAAGATAGTTTATAAATATATTCTTTTCTTTTACAAGAATTTCAGGAACCTTACATTGTTGAAACAGTCATAAATTTGTTTTTCAGAGAAATATAGGTATAAATTTACTATTATCTTCAAAACAGTCATCAGACTCCTCCTTGTGCAAGCTTTTTGGTATAAAAAAATAGTAATAAATGACAGTAAAAAAAACTTGAGTGCATTAAAATAGGAAAAAGTAACTGCATAATTGTTGTAAAAGGATTAGTGTTTAGCATTCTTCAATAAGAATTATATAGAAAGATACCAAAAAGCAGAAGTTTTAAAATTTCTAGCCTGTAAATAAGAGTTGTGTATATATATATATATATATATATTACACAACTATGAGGGGTTAATATATACATAACTATAATATAATATATACCTAACTATACATAACTATAATATAATATAATATAATAACTATAATATATACACAACAATGAGGGGTTTATGTGAAAATTAAATTAATATAAATGTATTATATGTATATTAATACATTTATTTGACACTTTATATAAATATATAAAGTGTGAAAGAAATTAAATAATTTTTAGGATACCTGGAGATACTTGATTTGGGACGAATGTTGCTACGACATTAGACAAGGACCAGATTAACAGTAAACAATAGAAATGATAAAACAATAAAATTATATTAATTCTGTTGTTAATTTTTTTGTGATTACCAGTTACATTTGATTATATTAATTCTTTTAATATAAAACCCATATTAAAGTGATGCACGTGTTTTCAAACTAAATAACAAACTTAACTTTGGAAGTCTAAATAATAATTATTATCACTCTTTGTCTTTTTGTTGCTGTTTAGACTTCTAGAGTAAAAATTGTTGTTTAGCTTGAATTATTTATTAAAAATATTCTGAAAATTAGAAGTGAAAATGTTTTATTTATTATTTTTTCAGCTTGAACACAGTTTTGAATACTTTTTTTATTTTTAATAAGAAAATGATAAGAATTATAGAACTTTATTTTAAATAAAGTTGATATTTAATTCAATACAAATATTCTTTCAAATTGTAATACCCTAAAACCTTTGCTATAGTTTTCAGCCTGTAAAAGGCTGTATAAGCCCTTGTTCATAAACAGAAGAGCTTATACAAGATTATATTTGTAAAATTCATCATGTGTAGCCTGTGCACGAGGGCAACAAATATGTGATTACTAGTAAAAACTATACAATATGAAAGAAAAATGCAGTAAAATATAATGGTAATAATACAGTGTAGTATTAATTTTAAAGCATTCATGAAAACTGGCAAAAATGATCAACAAAGTGGCATATGATTAACTCTAGTACGTAACAGAACACAGTGAGATTTACATAAGTAATAGTATTCCCGATGCTGTTCCTTTCTTATTGGATTTTATTCGGAGTCATAGGTCATGCACAGCCTATGTATGAGAGCAGCTTATTCACAAAATTTAACATTCCTTTACAGCTTTTGTTTTTGCAGCTATAGCTGCCCTTGGCTATAGACAAGAACAGTCTATAGCCAAGGTTTTAGGGTAATTTATTTTAATATTTTATTTATGTTTAAATGTGTTTTAATTGTGTATATTTATATACTACAACTACTATCTTCTTTCATTACTTTACACTAGTAAAAAGTTTCAAATTTATGTTCAAATCCAAAAAAAATTTACAATAAAATATGCAACAATGCTTACATATATATATATTTTTATATTAAAGAATTAATATACAGTAGATCCCCCTATAAGACGGTAGATACGTTCCGTTCTTTATGAATCAATTTTGTAGGAATCATAGTTTACGGACTACGGCTGTTTGAAAGGTTTTCTTTCATAAAATTAATCGATTCTAGACTAATTCGACTCAACATTTCCAAAATACGTATATTTTTTTG